ATGGGGATTCCCTTGTGTGTTATTTGTTGTTTTTCCCTTGCTGCTTTTCATATGTTTTCTTTGTATTTAATTTTTGACAGTTTGATTAATATGTGTCTTGGTGTGTTTCTCCTTGGATTTATCCTGTATGGGACTCTCTGTGCTTCCTGGACTTAACTATTTCCTTTCCCATATTAGGGAAGTTTTCAACTATAATCTCTTCAAATATTTTCTCAGTCCCTTTCTTTTTCTCTTCTTCTTCTGGAACCCCTATAATTTGAATGTTGGTGCGTTTAATGTTGTTCCAAAGGTCTCTGAGACTGTCCTCAGTTCTTTTCATTCTTTTTTCTTTATTCTGCTCTGCAGTAGTTATTTCCACGATTTTATCTTCCAAGTCACTTATATGTTCTTTTGCCTCAGTTATTCTGCTATTGATCCCTTCTAGAGTATTTTTAATTTCATTTATTGTGTTGTTCATCATTGCTTGTTTCATCTTTAGTTCTTCTAGGTCCTTGTTAAATGTTCTTGCATTTTCTCTATTCTATTTCCAAGATTTTGGATCATCTTTACTATCATTACTCTGAATTCTTTTTCAGGTAGACTGCCTATTTCCTCTTCATTTTTAGGTCTGGTGGGTTTTTATCTTTCTCCTTCATCTGCTATGTGTTTTTCTTACTTCTCATTTTGCTTATCTTACTGTGTTTGGGGTGTCCTTTTTGCAGGCTGCAGCTTCAAAGTTCCCGTTGTTTTTGGTGTCTGTCCCCAGTGGCTAAAGGTGGTTCAGTGATTTGTGTAGGCTTCCTGGTGGAGGGGACTAGTGTCTGTGTTCTGGTGGATGAGGCTGGATCTTGTCGTCTGGTGGGCAGGTCCACGTCTGGTGGTGTGTTTTGGAGTGTCTGTGGACTTATTATGATTTTAGGCAGCCTCTCTGCTAATGGGTGGGGTTGTGTTCCTCTCTTGCTTGTTGTTTGGCATAGGGTGTCCAGCACTGTAGCTTGCTGGTCGTTGAGTGAAGCTGGGTGTTGGTGTTGAGATGGAGATCTCTGGGAGATTTTCGCCATTTGATATTATGTGGAGCTGGGAGGTCTCTTGTGGACCAGTGTCCTGAAGTTGGCTCTCCCACCTCAGAGGCACAGCACTGACTCCTGGCTGCAGCATCAAGAGCCTTTCATCCACACGGCTCAGAATAAAAGGAGAAAAAGTAGAAAGAAAGAAAGAAGGAAAGAAAGAGGGCTTCCCTGGTGGCGCAGTGGTTGAGAGTCCGCCTGCCGATGCAGGGGACACGGGTTCATGCCCCGGTCCAGGAAGATCCCACATGGCGCGGAGTGGCTGGGCCTGTGAGCCATGGCCACTGAGCCTGCACGTCTGGAGCCTGTACTCCACAACGGGAGAAGCCATAACAGTGACAGGCCCGTGTACTGCAAAAAAATAAAAAATAAAAAAAGGAAGGAAGAAAGGGGATAAAAGAAAATAAAGTAAGGTAAAATAAAATAAAGTTATTAAAATAAAAAAATAATTATTAAGAAAAAAATATTTTTAATTAAAAAAGAAACAGACGGATAGAACCCTAGGACAAATGGTGAAAGCAAAGCTATATAGACAAAATCTCCCACAGAATCATACACATACACACTCACAAAAAGAGGAAAAGGGGAAAAAATAATAAATCTTGCTCTCAAAGTCCACCTCCTTAATTTGGGATGATTCGTTGTCTATTCATGTATTCCACAGATGCAGGGTACATCAAGTTGATTGTGGAGCTTTAATCCCCTGCTCCTGCGGCTGCTGGGAGAGGTTTCCCTTTCTCTTCTTTGTTCGCACAGCTCCTGGGGTTCAGCTTTGGATTTGGCCCCGCCTCTGTGTGTAGGTCGCCAGAGGGCGTCTGTTCTTCATTCAGACAAGATGGGGTTAAAGGAGCCGCTGATTCGGGGGCTCTGGCTCACTCAGGCCGCGGGGGGAGGGAGGGGCACGGAGTGCGGGGCGAGCCTGCGGCGGCAGAGGCCGTCATGACACTGCACCAGCCTGAGGCATGCCGTGCGTTCTCCCAGGGGAGTTGTCCCTGGATCCCGGGACCCTGGCAGTGGCGGGCTGCACAGGCTCCCCGGAAGGGGGGTGTGGAGAGTGACCTGTGCTCGCACACAGGCCCCTTGGTGACGGCAGCAGCAGCCTTAGCATCTCCCACCCGTCTCTGGGGTCCGCGCTGTTAGCCGCGGCTCGTGCCCGTCTCTGGAGCTCCTTTAAGCAGCGCTCTTAATACCCTCTCCTCGTGCACCAGGAAACAAAGAGGAAAGGAAAAGTCTCTTGCCTCTTCGGCAGGTCCAGACTTTTCCCCGGACTCCCTCCCGGCTAGCCATGGTGCACTAACCCCCTGCAGGCTGTGTTCACGCAACCAACCGCAGTCCTCTCCCTGGGATCCGACCTCCGAAGCCTGAGCCTCAGCTCCCAGCCCCAACCCGTCCCGGCGGGTGAGCAGACAAGCCTCTTGAGTTGGTGAGTGCCGGTCGGCACCTATCCTCTGTGCGGAAATCTGTCCGCTTTGCCCTCCACACCCCTGTTGCTGCGCTCTCCTTGGTGGCTCCAAAGCTTCCCCCCCTCCGCCACCTGCAGTCTCTGCCCGCGAAGGGGCTTCCTAGTGTGTGGAAACCTTTCCTCCTTCACAGCTCCCTCCCACTGGTACAGGTCCCGTCCCTATTCTTTTGTCTCTGTTTATTCTTTTTTCTTTTGCCCTACCCAGGTACGTGGGGGGTTTCTTGCCTTTTGGGAGGTCTGAGGTCTTCTGCCAGCGTTCAGTAGGTGTTCTGTAGGAGTTGTTCCACGTGTAGATGTATTTCTGATGTATCTGTGGGGAGGAAGGTGGTCTCCGCGTCTTACTCTTCTGCCATCTTCCCCCTTTCTCTATAGATTTCTGTTAGGTCCAGTTGGCTTATAGTGCTGTTCAGGTCCTCTATTTCCTTGTTGATCTTCTGCCTAGTTGTTCTATCCATTATTGAAAGTAGGGTATTGAAGTCTCCAACTATTGCAGTTGAGTTGTGTATTTCTCCTTTCAATTCAGTCAGGTTTTGCTTCATGTATTTCACGGCTCCATTGTTAAGTGACGGCACCATGCTTTTGTGATGACTGTAAGCACTCATAAAAAGCAACACTGACACATTGACCCTGTCCAGCTGGAATTTGAAGGGCATTTGAGACTTTTTTTCCCCAGCATCTTAAGAATCATGATGAACTATAGGGTAATGGTTAAAAAATATGGGCTTTGCATAAAAAGAAACGAAATTGAGTTATTTGTAGTGAGGTGGATGGACCTAGAGTCTGTCATACAGTAAAGTAAGTCAGAAAGAGGAAAACAAATACCGTATGCTAACACATATATATGGAATCTAAAAAAAAACAAAAAAAGGTCATGAAGACCCTAAGGGCAGGACAGGAGTAAAGACACAGACCTACTAGAGAATGGACTTGAGTATATGGGGAGGGGGAGGGGTAAGCTGTGACAAAGTGAGAGAGTGGCATGGACATATATACACTACCAAACTTAAAATAGATAGCTAGTGGGAAGCGGCCGCATAGCACAGGGAGATCAGCTCGGTGCTTTGTGACCGCCTGGAGGGGTGGGATCGGGAGGGTGGGAGGGAGGGAAACGCAAGAGGGAAGAGATATGGGGACATATGTATATGTATAACTGATTCACTTTGTTATAAAGCAGAAACTAACACACCACTGTAAAGCAATTATACTCCAATAAAGATGTTTAAGAAAAAAAAGAAACATGGGCTTTGTAGACCCTCAAACCTGGGCTCAAATCCAGACTGCCAGGGCATTCCCTGGCGGTCCAGTGGTTACGACTCTGTGCTTTCACTGCCAAGGGCCCAGGTTCAATCCCTGGTCGGGAAAGTAAGACCCCACAAGCCACGTGGCACGGCCAAGAAATAAATAAAAAGAATCCATACTGCCATTCACAACTCATGTGACCTTGTGTAAGTCACAAAACGAATGGATCAGTTTCTTTGTCTGTAAAATGGGGATAATGATAGCACCTACCTCACTGGGTTGTTGTGAGGATTAAACAGGATCATGTTTATGACCTTAGCCTAGGTTAATGCCTGCCATCTGTCTGTCTGTCTGCTGATAGCAAAGGGCATTGGCATTGTCTGAGTATATTCTCACAGATAACATGGGAAGGGGTCCCCAAAACAGACTAAAAGAGAGAAACCAGAAAGAAAGCATTTGCTGTGGATAATTCTCAGACGCACACACTTACCATCGTTAAAAACTTTTGACTAGAACATTTTGCCACATGTATATAGAGCAGGCAGCCTAGCCCTGTATGAATACAGAGAAGTGCTATGATTTGAGGAGTTGACAAAAATGCTCCCCCTACCCTCCTCCCACATCCCAGCGTATCCCTCATCTGCTTTACACATTCAGATACACTGAATTTTACTAGTAGAGCTCTATTCTTTTAGGGTCCCTCCATCGAAAATCCTCTTTGAAATACACACTCTTGGGATTGTACTAGCCTATTTTACACTTACCCACTGAACCACTCCTAACCTGTCAGATTCATTTCCTTCTGCCTCAAGAGATCCAGCATAACACGAGTGTAACAGAGCACTGGGGGTGGTTCAGATTCTGAATAGATTGGGGTTTGAGACAGGGACAGTTCCAGGGGGGACATAAAACAAACCTCACCCTACAGCTGACTCTCAGACCAGACATACCCGTGTAAGAGTCCAGCTGTGCCCAGATACCAAGGTGTTCACCCCCACCCCAGCCCATGCCTTTTCCCATTTCACAGGTGATGGGGCTATTAGCAGCCCAGGCCATTTGATTCCACTCACTTTACTTTCAGGGGCAGCAGCAGCATGGCTGCCCCTTGCCCTCCTCTCTAGCAGCCAGATAGTGCTCCCTCTCAGTACCTACCACCCAGCTGGGCTCCAGAGACCCAGGCCCGAGACTCCAAGGAAACTCAGCCACAGTCCTCAGCACCAGGGCTCATGTGTTGATTCTCTTTCTGGGTTTAGATTACATGCACAGCGCCCACCGCCCTGTCACTGGGGGCCACCTGGGGAAAAAGGAGAGTAGTTATGTGGGCAGCATGGGCACCAGCCCCAGGAAGTCGAGCCGCTGCACGCCCCCGCCTGCCGACTCTGAGCTTGTCAGCTTTTGCTACCTCCACATGCGGGAACAAAGGAAGGATCAGGAAAGCCGGACAGATGTCAATGAGAACTTAATCTTCTTTGAGGAGACCAGGCCCCGGACCAAGTCTGACCCCACGTCCAAGAGTTCTGGCCAAGGTTATGTGATCCCTGATGACTTTGATGCAGCTAGCCTAGACCATGAGCCTTGTGCCAGCAGGGCCCGTTCCTACACTTTGGACAATTCCCTTGGGGCTGAAGCCCTGAATTTCTACTGTGACTCTTGCAAAGCCAAACTCCAGGAGCAGCTGGGCCCTCGCAAAGGTGGGAGGTCTGGCTCCTCTCGTGACAATATGGTAGACTTGATGTCCCTCCCACCCCCCGGGAGTGAGGAGGAGGAAGAGGAGGAAGATGAGAGCACTTCGCTGTTGCCTTCCATTGCTGCCCCACCTCCTGGTTTCCGAGACAACAGTTCTGATGAAGAGGACCCCAAGCGCCGGGCCGTCCAGAGCCAGGAGCAAGGACGCCACCTGCATGGGCTCCTGTACGATGAGATTCCGGTGACACTGATTGACAGCGTGCAGACCCGGACAGTCCGAGATCATGCCCAGGAGCTAGATGATGCCCTGGTGTCCACTCTGCAGGCTCTGGAAGCCCTGGCAGCCTCAGAGGATGGACCACACCCCCCAGCCCCTCAGACTGCAGGTAACAGCGCGTTCCTCCTCCCTCTTGCCTCCCTTTCCTTCTCTTGGCCAGGCAGACCCAGCAGGTGACATTTCTTCTTCCCAAGCAGAGGTCAAAGTCAGCGTGGTGTGTCAGGGCAGTGGATGGGCCAGAGACAGTTCAGGTAGGGTCGGGGGAGCGACGAAGCTGCGGCAGGGATCTACTGCTCAGCCCCCGCTAGAGCTCCAGCTCTCACCATTCCTATCGCTTTGGAAATGTCTTGCCGATGGACCCCAGGGATTGGGGCCGTGACAGCTACGGAGCCAGGCCAGGATGGAGGATCAGAGCAAGATTGTGAGACATATAGAAGACAGGCAAAGAACATCCAGCATGCATATGACTGGAAGAAAAACAAAATGACCAACAAACCATCTAGGGACCTGGGATCAGGGGAGCCAGGAGCCCTCACCGCTCAGGGCTGAGACCTTTATCCGCCTAAGAGCTTTGGCTCTCAGACGCATCCAAGTCCTGGCTTCTTCACCACTTTCAGTGTCACCTTTGCTTTGGCAAGGCACTTAACCCTCTCTGAGCCTCACTTTTGTCATCTTCAATGGATTTGAGAACAATAGTCCTATCACGTAGGGTTGTTGCGAGGATTAAATGAGCTCGTTCATGCAAAGTACATAAACACTTCCCAGCACATAGTAAGGACTCTGTAAGTGGTAGCCACTATCATTGTTATTATTATTCGGTGGGCAAACTATACAGCATGCATGCTATTCCCTGTTATAGACCCACATACATCCATCTTGTAGACAAACACGGATGTCAGACATGCACCCATAGTCACACATACATCCTTCCACACACATATGCCTTCAAACAAAGAGGTCAGTGATACAGTGACAGGAAGGAAATAGGGAGGAATAAGGCATATGAGAAAGCCTGTGAGGCGAGGGCAAGTGTGGACAGAGAGGGTGAAGCAATTGGGGTCAGAGGGAACCTCGCTGACCAGAGCGAGTACCTGCCTTTTCTGTATGTGAGCGCATCCTTGGTGTCGGGCAGCCCCCATGTGTTCGGCCCCCAGGCCTGGCATTTCTCTTTGCTCAGAGTCTGGAGCTCCAAGCACTGGCTGCTCCCAGGCTAGAGGCCCATGTGATAGCCAGAGAGAGGCCAAGCTCAGCTAAATGGCCTCAGCTGCAGGGACTGTAGGCAGGCCTGGCCAGATGAGGAGGGCCAGAGAGAGAGGGAGCTCTCTTTGCTGGCTCTCTTCAGGACAATTAACAAAAATTTCCTAGCTGTTGAATCTAAAAATAGTGATGATTAGCATGTTGTTTTGCCTGTGATCTGCATGTTAATTTGCCATCAAACTGCCCAGATCTTCTCTAGGCCTCTTTTGTTTCTCTTTCGGATTCCAGCCCTTCATCACCCCTCTCCCAGCTTGCCTTTCTTTGTCCCCTCCCCTCCCGACCTCCCACCCTCAGCCCTGCAGGACCCCCAGGCCTGACTGGTTTTTTCCGGCTTGAAATCCTGCTGACTAACCTTGACCCTCATAGACTGTCTACATATGGTTGGAAAGGACTTGACACGAGTAAGTGCTGCAGACCCTATCCCTGTCCCTCCAGGTCTGATTGTGCTGGCCACAATCACCCCTGAATCGTCGCTGGACTCGGGCCACGAAACCAACTCTTCGGAGCTCACGGACATGTCGGAGGTGATGTCAGCCATGAAGCAACACCAGAATACCACCTACTTCCTGGCCCAGCATCTCAACAAGGACAGCCTCCTGGCCCGCAAGGACCTGCCCTTCCGGATCCAGAGCTGTGCAGCCCAGGCCGTTCTCACGGCCCCTTACTCTCTCGGGCGCCCAGATCCCAACCCATCCCTCCAGCCAGCTGTCACAGGCCAGAGTCCTGGCGCCCCTGGTGCTCGGAGGAAGGTGCCCCCGTCAGAGGCGCAGCCACAGAACGAGCGAACGTACGCCTTGGCTGTGCACCCAGCACTGTCCCCTCAGCTGAGTGAGCAGAAGAATCTGAGCCTGCTGTCCCCAGTTCCTGAGGACAAAGGGCCTGGCCACACTCGGGCGGGCCTAGAGATGTCACTGAGGGCGGCCACACCGTCCCTCAGTGAAGAGCAGGTCTCTGAGCTAAGGGAGAGCCTGCCCAAGGAGGTCAGGTTGAGCCCCAAGCTTATCCTGGACCCAAAGGGCAGTGTGACCCCAGCCATCATCTCGGCCGCCCTACAGCAGGTGGTTCATACTAAGAGTCTGTCTGCCCCTGGCGGGGCCTTGGGGAGCACCCCCAACAGTGGGGAGAGGTTAGAGGCCAGCATGGGGAGGTCAGAGGTCAGCATGGGAAGGCCAGAAGTTAGCATGATGAGCGGCAGTGCCAATAAGAATCTTAAGTTCAAAATGAGTCCCAGTGCTCCAGAGGCCTCACGGAATTCCCAGCTGCAGCTGAGCCCAGAAGTCTCTTCCGGCTCCAGAGCACCCACAGGCAGCCGAGCTGATAGCCTGCACCTCTCCTCACAAGAGGACAGGCTGCCTATTCAAAGTTTCCCTCCCAAAAGCTATCTTTCTCGAGTGAGTCGAGAGTCAGTGGGCAAGCAAGGTACCGGGGAGGTGGCGGGCAAGGGCGGGCCTGAGGGTGCTAAGCCTTCCCTGCACAAGCAGGGCACCGTCTCCGGCCAGGGGGAGAAGGGGCAGCTGGAGAGCACCCTCCAAAGCAGCAAGCTTGAAGACACCAGCCTGGTCCCCCGAGCCGGCTACCCCATGGTTCTGCAGAGCCCCAGCTGTCCGCCGCGAGGCCAGAGCCCCAGCTGTCAGCAGCGAGGCCAGAGCCCGCTGAGGCCTCAGGCTGCCAGCCGGCAGGTGAGCACCATGCCCTCCAGAAAGATTGAAACGACCCTGGATGGAGCCCACTTGGCCTCCGAAGGCCCCACCAAGCCCAAATCGTCCCGGGGCCCTTTCCGGCTCCGCAACTTATTCTCTGCCACCTTCCCAACCCGCCAGAAGAAGGAGACCGATGAGCGGCAGGCCCAGCTGCAGAAGGTGAAGCAGTATGAGCTGGAGTTCCTTGAGGAACTTCTCAAGCCACCAAGCCAGGGGGAGCTGTCGGGCACCGAGTACCTGCAACCCCCAGCTCCAGGCCGCTGCAGCTGCCAGCTCCGCAGCAGCCCCGTGCAGCAGGGGCCCGGCATGTCCCGAGAGCAGAGGCGCAGCTGTGATTGCAAGCGCATGTGCCGGGGGGCCCGGCCTCAGGCCCCCCAGACGCCGGTGCCCGGCCTCCGGGGGAGGGAGAGGGACAGGGTCCCCCCGACCCAGAGGCAGCCAGAGGCCGGCCTAGGCTTGAGCCTCGGCAGCCCCACCAGTGTCCGGCGCATGCGCTCCACCAGCCTGGAATCCCGAGAGTGCCGATCGGACCCTGAGAGCGGGGTTTCATGCCTGACCACATGTGCCTCGGGGGGCGAGTGTCTAGGAGCTCCCAACTACAGGAAACTGATGCGCCGCTACAGCATCAGTGAGCTGGACCAGGGCGACAGGGCCTCGCTGACCTCGGACGTCTACCCGCACCCACCCCTGGGCATGCTGCCCAGGGAGGCCAGGGAGGTAGAGGCAGGCCTCCCCCTAGGCGTGGGTCCCAAAAGCATGTCACTGGAATCCCCGACCCTGGGAGACCCCTCCTACGTCCATGTTGCCCCTGAGACCAAAGGCCCCAGACAGATGGCCGTGTTCTCACTGCCGGAAGAGGTGTACCGGAAGCCCGCGGAGCTGGACGAGGACAGTGAGAGTGGCAAGTGCTGCTCCATCCGCTACTGCTTCTACTACCGCAAGTGCGACATGGCGGATGACACCAGCGATGGCAAGGACGAGCTCTCCTACTCCATCCCCATGAAGATCCTGCCCGGCATGAAGCTGGACGAACAGGTGGTGCCCGTGGTGAGCAGGACCCTGCAGGTGCTGGATGCCGCCACCTGCAGCAGCCCGGAGGCCTCCCGCACCCAGGAGATCGACCTGCGGGTGTCCACCTTCGAGGGGAGCCTGGCCAAGATCAACGCCCTGCGGGCCCATGCCTACGGCCTGCCTGACGGCTTCCTGGCCGCCCGGCTGGACACCAACGAGCTGCTGACGGTCCTGAGGCAGTGCGTGGCCAGCCCCGAGGCCCGCGCCCCCAAGCCCTACGTCTCCCAGATCTCTGAGTACAAGCTCGAGCTGGCTCTCAAGTTCAAGGAGCTCCGGGCCTCCTGCCGCCGCGTGGCCAACGTGGACAAGAGCCCCACTCACATGCTGGCGGCCATCACGGGCAGCTTCCAGGTGCTGAGCAGCCTCATTGAGACGTTCGTGCGGCTGGTGTTCATCGTGCGCTCTGAGGCCCAGCGCCAAGAGCTGCTGGCCAAGGTGGAAGAGGTGGTGAGGAACTACACCTTCCTGCTGCGCGCAGCCGAGGAGTCCACCGCCCGGAGCCTTAAGCAGCAGCAGCAGGCAGCAGCCGCGGGGCACACGCCGGGCTCCCCCACTTCAGCGACTGTTATGAGCACATTCACCCGCTCCTTAAAAACCCTTATCAAGTAGGCCATCTGCCCGGGCCTGCCCCCTTCCCCAACCGTGGCCCCAGGTTTGAGCTTTGTGGTCTTTGCATCTTGTGGTGAGTATAGGTGTCTGCTGGGCCAGTCAGGGTCCCAGAGCCCTCAGTCTCCAGGGAGTGACAGCTCCGTGCATTGAGGCTGTCCCTGAGGGCTCCGGGCAACTGCCACCCTGGGTATCCTCACCCCTTCCCTGGCCTCTGGGCGTCACTGTGAGGGCCAAGGCCCCCCCTCCCCCGTCACCACGCCCGCCGCAGATCTGTTTTGCCTCTCTTCTCTAGGGCTGAGACGTGACGTCGGGTCCACTTCCTGCTCCATCGTGGTAGCCGGAGGGAGGCGGGCCTGAAGCAGGGGGCCCGTGGGCCTTGAGCTCCTCTTGGCTCCTGTGCCCCTCTGGGGAGCAGTGGCAGTAGCAGCAGGCCACAGCGCCAAGCGAGCGGAGAGGCTCGGGCACGCAGTCCAGACGTGCCCACCCACCCTGGGCTCACACTAACTCGGCAGGAGCCATCCCGGAGGGCTTGTGCCCGGGTAGTGGGTCTGCAGAAAACAGCCGCGCTCAGCTGTTTGTGGCCGGCCCAGCAGGCTGGCGGCCTCAGGGAGCGCTCGCCCCCGGGCCCAGTAGCTCCACACCAGCCATCCCCAAAGTGCCCTGCCCCTCGCTGACAGGCAGGGCGGCTCAGTCCACTAGGGAGCAAGCATCTGGGATCACCCCGCTCATTCTGGGTAAGGTACCTGGTGAACACGTCTGCCCTGGGGAGACCCAGCGCAGGCCTCAGAGCCCGCCTGGCCCAGGCCAGCGCAGGGGCTGTCGCTGCCGGCGTGCGGCTTCTCTCAACATCTCTCTACCAGACAGACTGTCCTTAGGAGTCCGACTTAGCTACAGATGGGGGGTGGGGGGGGGGGGGGGGGGGGGGGGGGGGGGGGTCAGGGGGGCTGTTGATGACTATATCTTAAACTTCTGGAAGCTAGCGTGATATGTTAACCCTGAGTATATGCTTTTGGCTGTGTATTGACCCTGTGGATTTGTCTCTCTAAGAAAAGAAGCTGAGCGCCTTACCTGGTGCAGTCCGGCACCTCTCTCTCTCTCTCTCTCTCTCTCTCCCCCCCCCCCCACTCCCCCGGAGTCATCTGGAAGGGAATCCACACTGTTTAGCATCCTCCTTGACACACATCTGCTGCCGTCACCGCCCCCACTACAGCGTTCCTGGGAGTGAAGACACGGAGTCCCTACTAATTGCCCATTGTAGGGAACAAAGAAAGCCAATGTTTCTTCTGTATAGATTGCTTCTCATCCACCTCTCCATACCCCCCATTTCCCACAAGCTCGTGCCCTGTGTCTGCCTCTCTTTCATCATTCCGTGAGAGGCTTACGTGAAACCTTCCGTTCTTATGTGAGTTTTATAAAGATGTACACTGTGCTTAACCCCCACCCATCCTTGGTGTCCCCGAGTGCGATAAAGGACCCCCCGAGTGGCGCTTCCTCCCGGCAAGGATTAGGGGAGCTCCTTCTGCAAAAGCCAGCCCCCCTCTTCCTTGCCTCTCCTCCCACAGGACCAAGTTGTTTAATGGGCCAGAGATGCAGCCAGTGGGGGACCGTTGCCCCCCGCAACCACCGCGACCCTGCCTGCTGACGTGGTCTGCCTCTTCTCCCAACATCTTGATCCTGCCCCTTCACCACTCAGGCCCCGCCTGTGTCATTCATTCCACCGCCATCCTTCACCTCTCCCTCGGCTTCACGGAGAGAACATATTTTCTAATGTCTGTATATAGTATATATACTACATAAAATATATAAATTCTATATTATACTAATTTATGTCTTGTTTTTCAAACAAGAATGATTAAATCTATTCATCTTACTATCCCAATAAGCCTTTGCAATGCCTCTGTGTGGGTGTCCTTGTGTCCTTGAATTGTTGGTTGCTGGGTGCTCCCCCAGGCCTCTGGGCCCTGGTGGTTGAGGAGAGATGAGGATCCTGCTCCTCCCGCCTCCCCTTTGCCCGTCTTAGAAGTCTCCTGTTGGTCACGGGAGTTGGATACTGTCTACTCCTTTCTCTTGACCTTGGGTCCTTTGGCTCACCTGGCCACCATGGCTGTGACCTCAGAGCTGATGGGTGGGCTGGGCACATAAAAACAATGTGCTCCTCAGCACCGGACAGCCTGGGAATTGGGAGATAGGGATTCAGGTCAGCTCTCAAATTGCTTTGGGAAATGGGGCCTCTCCCTCTGAAACGTTCCCAGTCACCTCAGAACGTAGCTTGACTGCCTTGTAGCTCAGGCTAGCCAATCCCTTGCAATGGCCTCTGGCGATTTCTTGGGAGAGGGTATTTCCATACAATAGAAGCAGCAGGACCCTAAGCAGAGCTGACTTCTCTGGCTTTTCAGAGAGTTACCTAATGGTGGGTGATGATTCTATTTCTCCTGTTCTAGGTCCTTCTGGTAATCACAGGTCCCCTCTAGCCTATGAGATGCCTTTGTGCCAACTAGAAAAAGATTCTCCCTGCAGGACCTACCCACCGTGATGAATTAGAAAACAACAGCAACAAAAAAAAAACCAGTCCTCTGGGTGATGCTAGACCTGTGAGCACAGGTCTTGGTAATTTCAGCCCCACTTACTTTGATGGCCGGTTGTACAAACTATACAACCATTTACAGTAGCCCTGATGAGTAACTTCCTTCCACAGCTTGGGCACAGATGCTTTTTCTCATGTTTGCAAAAGTCGTGGCTAAAGTGGTTTGGGAGAGGGCAGACAGCAGAAGCAAGAAGAGCTAAAATTCTGCAGCCTGTGGAAGGAAAACCACATTCATAGAAAGACAGACAAAGTGAAAAGGCAGAGGACTTTGTACCAGATGAAGGAACAAGATAAAACCCCAGAAAAACAATTAAATGGGGCTTCCCTGGTGGCACAGTGGTTAAGAATCTGCCTACCAGTGCAGGGGACATGGGTTCGATCCCTGGTCCGGGAAGATCCCACATGCCAAGGAGCAACTAAGACCATGTGCCACAACTACTGAGCCTGCGCTCTAGAGCCCACAAGCCACAACTACTGAAGCCCACGCGCCTAAAGCCCATGCTCCGCAACAAGAGAAGCCACCTCAATGAGAAAGCCATGCACCACAATGAAGAGTAGCCCCCACTCACCGCAACTAGAGAAAGCCCGCATGCAGCAACGAAGACCCAATGCAGCCAAAAATAAATAAAATAAAATACATACATTTATGTTAAAAAAAAAAAACTTAAAAACAACTAAATGAAGTGGAGATAGGCAGCCTTCCAGAAAAAGAATTCAGAATAATGATAGTGAAGATGATACAGGACCTCGGAAAAAGAATGGAGGCAAAGATCAAGAAGATGCAAGAAATGTTTAACATTGTTTAACAAAGACCTAGAATAATTAAAAAACAAACACCTAGAAGAAGTAAAGAGCAAACAAACATAAACAATACAATAACTGAAATGAAAAATACACTAGAAGGAATCAATAGCAGAATAACTGAGGCAGAAGAACGGATAAGTGACCTGGAAGACAGAATGCTGGAATTCACTGCTGCAGAACTGAGTAAAGAGAAAAGAATGAAAAGATATGAAGACAGCCTAAGATACCTCTGGGACAACATTAAGCACAACAACATTCACATTATAGGGGTCCCAGAAGGAGGAGAGAGAGAAAGGACCAGAGAAAATATTTGAAGAGATTATTGTCGAAAACTTCACTAACATGGGAAAGGAAATAGCCACCCAAGTCCAGGAAGGGCAGAGTCCCAGGCAGGATAAACCCAAGGAGAAACACGCCAAGACACGTAGTAATCAAATTGACAAAAATTAAAGACAAAGGAAAATTGTTGAAAGCAACAAGGGAAAAATGACTAAGATACAAGGAAACTCCCATAAGGTTAAGAGCTGATTTCTCAGCAGAAACTCACCAAGACAGAAGGGAGCGACATGATATATTTAAAGTGATGAAAGGGAAGGACCTACAACCAAGATTAGTCTACCCAGCAAGGATCTCATTCACATTCGACGGAGAAATCAAAAGCTTTACAGACAAGCAAAAGCTAAGAGAATTCAGCACCGCCAAACCAGCTCTACAACAAATGCTAAAGGAACTTCTCTAAGTGGGAAACACAAAAGAAGAAAAGGACCTACAAAAGCAAACCCATAACAATGAAGAAAATGGTAACAGGGACATACATATTGATAATTACCTTAAATGTGAATGGATTAAATGCTCCAACCAAAAGACACAGGCTCGCTGAATGGATACCAAAACAAGACCCATATATATGCTGTCTACAAGAGACCCACTTCAGACCTAGGGACACATACAGACTGAAAGTGAGGGGATGGAAAAAAGATATGCCATGCAAATGGAAATCAAAAGAAAGCTGGAGTAGCTATACTCATATCAGATAAAATAGACTTTAAAATAAAGAATGTTACAAGAGACAAGGAAGGACACTACATAATGATGAAGGGATCAATCCAAGAAGAAGATATAACAATTATGAATATATATGCACCCAACATAGGAGCACCTCAATACATAAGGCAACAGTTAACAGCTATAAAAGAGGAATCGACAGTAAGACAATAATAGTGGGGGACTTTAACACCTCACTTACACCAATGGACAGTTCATCCAGAAAGAAAATTAATAAGGAAACACAAGCTTTAAATGACACAGTAGAACAGATAGATTTAATTGATATTTATAGGACATTCCATCTAAAAACAGCAGATTGCACTTTCTTCTCAAGCGCACGCAGAACATTCTCCAGGATAGATCACACCTTGGGTCCCAAATCAAGCCTCAGTAAATTTAAGAAAACTGAAATCATATCAAGCATCTTTTCCGACCACAACACTATGAGATTAGAAATCAATTACAGGGGGGAAAAAAAAAACATACGGAGGCTAAAAAATACGTTACTAAATAACCAAGAGATCACTGAAGAAATCAAAGAGGAAATCAAAAAATACCTAGAGACAAAGGACAGTGAAAACACGAAGATCCAAAACCTATGGGATGCAGCAAAAGCAGTTCTAAGAGGGAAGTTTATAGCAATAAAAGCCTACCTCAAGAAATAAGAAACATCTCAAATAAACAATCTAACCTTACACCTAAAGGAACTAGAGAACAAAGAGCAAACAAAACCTAAAGTTAGTAGAAGGAAAGAAATCATAAAGATCAGAGCAAAAATAAATGAAATAGGAACAAAGAAAACAATAGCAAAGATCAATAAAAATAACAGATGGTTCTTTGAGAAGATAAACAAAATTGATAAACATTTAGCCAGATTCATCAAGAAAAAGGGAGAGGACTCAAATCAGTAAAATTAGAAATGAAAAAAGAGAAGTTACAACAGACACCGCAGAAATACAAAACATCCTAAGAGACTACTACAAGCAACTCTGCCAATAAAATGGACAACCTGGAAGAAATAGACAAAGTCTTAGAAAGGTATAACCTTCCAAGACTGAACGAGGAAGAAATAGAAAATATGAACAGACCAATCACAAGTAATGAAATTGAAACTGTGATTAAAAATCTTCCAACAAACAAAAGCCCAGGACCACATGTCTTCACGGGTGAATTCTATCAAACATTTAGAGAAGAGCTAACACCCATCCTTCTCAAACTCTTCCAAACGAACTCTGCAAACGAATCAATGGACAAAGGATTAATCTCCAAAATCTATAAACAGCTCATACAGCTCAATATTAAAAAAACAAACAACCCATTCAATAAATGGGCAGAAGACCTAAATAGACATTTCTCCAAAGAAGACATACAGATGGCTAACAAACACATGAAAAGATGCTCAACATCACTATTATTAGAGAAATGCAAATCAAAACTACAATGAGGTATCACCTCACACCA